AAAGAGTTAGATCTATCTTTGGACCGAACCTATTTCGGAAGGTGGTTTTGAGCTTATTGGTTCAATGGTTCGCCGTTTCGTTTTGAAAAGCCCCGGTTCCTGGTTCCTGGTTCAGAAGGGCCGAGCATATACCCCTCTGTAGACTGACTTTACGGGGAGAATATCAAAAAGGTAAAGGTGAAGGTGAATGGGGGGCGTGCCTAGACAGTACGGACGGACTTCACGGAGCACGGAGGGAATAGGAGAGAGAAAGAGAGAGTTGGGGGGGACAGAGGAATGTCCATCGAAATTCCATGGAAACAAGGCACAATGGAGCACGGAGAAATGCAACATGGAGGGCTCACGAAGAACAGACATTGCTGAGAAGGCAAATGAGGGAGAAACACACAGAGAGAGGCAGTCGGAAAGGAGAGCACGGAGGGAAACAGTGGCACGGAGTCCGGTAGGGGGAAAGGCACGGAGGAGAAACGGCGCGGGGAGGAGGAGGGACGGAGGGAGCAATCAGCCCAGAGACCGAGGAACGAAGGTGTTTACGAGAGACAATGAGATCCAAGACCGATATAGTTCCCAAGTCGAATGCCCGTTGATGGGACGACCGAGGACCGAGTTCGAGAAAAAGGGCCCCGGGCGCGGGTGTGAACACGACGATGAACGCAAGGTCAATGCTTTGATGCTGTCAAGAACGGTTTGAAGAATTAAGACGGACGATGATGTTGTCTTGGTGTCTTCCTTGCGGTCGAGCAGGAAGGTGATGGAAGCCGACGTAATCCGTGCTTCACGTTGGGGCGTAGTCTCGCTCAGTCCTCTTCACACATCCGGATGTGTGATCAGCTTCACACACAAAATGTGTGTGAGATCGGCTTTTTTTTTTTAAACACTCGGTCAGAGTCGGAGCATCGCGCCGCACGTACAAAGTAGTACGTGCAGTAGGCTGCCAGGTAGCGGCAGCCAGATCTTGACGAGATCCATCTCTTGTCGTTCCTGGTTTGTGCGTCCGAGAGCCTGCCTAAAGTCATGCGGCTCGTTCCTTCGTTCGTTTCTTCTTCTTCCTTCGCGCGTGAACAAAAACTGGATTTGACGGAACAGACACTGCCCACATGGACTTCCCCAGACCCAAGGCGGGAAAAGACGGCAAAGCCATGTTCGTTTGCCTTACGTTGCCCCCTCCCCGGGAGGTTTCTGTTCTGTGCGTTGGAAAAAAAAAAAAAACTGTATGTGAATGATGTCCGTGACGCCACGCCATCAAGCGAACCCACGGCCGCCGGACCGCGGCCATTTATCGTCCTTCGTCGTCGTCATCATTGTCGACAGCCTTTTCCATCTTTTGTCATCGCCGTCAGGCAACACTGACACACACTCAAAGGGTGTACGGTTCAACACCGGCACCACGGTGAACACCACCATCTAGCGTGGCGCGAACAGACAGCGTTCGTCCGCAGCCAACGGTCTTGCCCCCCAAGCGAGCAGTCCCGGGACCTAGGGCACGGCATCGCCAACACCACCATGGAGGTAAAGAGAGAGAGAAAAAAGAAGGAGAGGTTCAGACCAAAGTAAGACCCGAGAGTTTCCTAGGAACGTGCCCTGATCTTTGGGCCTGGACGTCTCGTGAACCACGCCTATTCCGTGTTAATCTTGCTCTGTTCGTTTGTTTGTTTGTTTTGTTTCCATCTGGACAAGAAGGGCATAAACAAGACTGTGACGAACGGTTTTCCCTTTGACTCATTGTCCCGACGTTTGTCCACCCGGCCGGCCGCCCGGCCACGTTGCTTCCCGTCGCTCTCGGGTACATGGAAAGAGACCTTTTCTCTCTCTCTCTCTACAGCGCCGCTCTCTCCCACAGACACACTTCGTCTGGTGAGTTGGATTCGTTTGATGCCAGGATGACTGCGAGCATGAAGAATAGATTCGTGCGACGTCCGGCTCGGTGAATGTCGATAGTTCCGTTTGATGGCATAAAGTATCCGTACCGTAGAGACTAATGAAGGAGAGGGGGATCCGATGGCATCGCCGATGATGAACGAGACTAAGACTGACGGACTATGCAACCATCGGCTTGTGCAGAAAATCTTGAATCCGCGAGGGGAGGGGGTGTGTGTGAGAGGCGATAGCTGCTTGAATCTGTCATCTTTCTGTTTCAGGGTTTTTTTGGCGCTGCTCCACGTATTGCAACGCTCATCTGCCGGTCAAAGAGAAGCAAGTATCTGGAGGAGACGTGAGGGGAGGATGGGGGTGGTCCAAAAGGTCCAACCGGACGCGATACCGTGCGGGTGTGCTTCGATCTGCAAAGTGACAGACAGACTTCTCATCCTACGCCTCTCGCGGCGGCACAACCTGCATGAAACTAACCAAGAGATATGAGATAGAATTACGATGGATGAGGGGGGGGAGGGGGGAGAGACTACCTACCCAGGGCTGATTGTGACTTGAGCGGCAGTTGACACTTTCCTTGAAGGTGTCTCTGGTCAATCGCGGCGCCGTCACATCTTTGTTATTGCAAGGTTGTGGAAAGATGAACGACGTCGCTTTCGCGGCTCGCGGAGAGAGTTTTGCCTATCCCGCGCCGCAGCAAATCCGTTATCGCATCCGTTTTTGGGTTACAGCATGTGGGCAACCAAGAAAAAAAAAAAAAAAAAAAAGGGAAAAGAGGCGGGGGTGAAGGGGGGGCCGGCGGCCGCGGCGGCCGCGGCAACCGGCACGCCCCCGCCGGCCGGCGGACACGGTGGGGGGAGAGAGACAGGGGAAAAAAGAAAAAAAAAAAAAAAAAACCACGGGCAGGGGGGGGGGGTGGCGGGGGGGTGGGGGGGGGGGGCGGGGGGGGGGAGGGGGACTGGAGCGGCCGACCACAAAACGCCATCTACCGGGAAAAGTCCTCGAAAAAAAAAAAAAAAACCCTCGCAAGTTGGCTAGCGGAATGCGGAGGAAGCTGCAGTAGTCAAAGAGACCCAACCGCAGCCCATTTTCCTGCTGCTCAACAACGACCCTGCTTCGACATTCAAAACGTTTTGAATGTTGCCTCTCATTCGCTGCTGTTCCAGGAGGGATGCACGCGCAAACTAACTCTCTTGAGCCCAGCCTTCCGCGGCCACCAGCGTACGGCATCCGGACCCAGTGTTCATCTGTATCAAAGGCCTTTTTTTTGGTTCCTCTCTTCCACAGAGGCAAGGAGGAGGAGGAGGAGGAGGAGCAGGAGGAGGACACAGCGCAACGCAACAGGCATCGTTGCGCCTAGCCTTGACATGACATGACATCACGCACATTGAGCAAGTGACTGGTCTATAACCGGCCCAAAGAGAATGCACCATCCTCCCACGGCATGTGCGTCCGGGGACTCGGGAGACTGACTTGTCAGTCAAGTTGCCTGCAAAGCAAACACCACCACGGCAGTCACAGTCAGTGCAGGCGTCCGCAGGAACCAAACGTCAATTCGTCATGGCACCCTGCCTGTGAATCTCATGTCGGCTCAACTGACACATCGGACGACGGCTGCTGGGGGGCTCAAGCGAGGACACACGCAGCAAACACCTTTCATTACGCTGACTGATAGACACCATTGCGATAAGTCGTGAGTTCAAGTGTTTGGAAGGATCTCCGGTGCTGCTGCGCCAGAAATCGCCATGCCGGGGCACCGCAAAGGCATGCAGCAGCATGGGGGAGTGTGTGGTTGCGGTTCGCAGGCATACAGATAATAATGGCCCAGTTGAGCCCCCCCCCCAGATGGTCTCCTTGACCGACCGATGCACCTTTCCTGCCAGATTGTTCGACGTGCATTCCGATCAAGCAACGGCTGTTGCACGGTTGGTAAGACCACCACTCCGGCTACCATGCCCATGCTGCCGGGACCCCCCCCCCCCCCCGCCCCCCCAAACGTTTTTCCGTTTCCCCTTTGCACTCGCAGTTGAAAGATCTGCTCCGGTGTTAACCCCTCCGCGGGTGGCAGGTCGCCGCGCCGGCGCCCCGCCCTTCCCCTGCCGCCCGGGCCCCCCCCCCCCCATCGCACCACAAAAGTTTGTCAGATTTCCCCTTGCGATTCGACTTGCAGAATCATCATCCGTTGTAAACTCATGCGAGATTGAGAGGACTCGGCGAAGGCGAACTTCCTTTACCCCTTTTGCGGTAGCAACGCCTTGCGGAGTAGTGAGTCAAAGGGGGAGGAGGAGGAGGAGGAGGAGATGGACTCTCTCTTGACCGACCCCGCCCGCAGTCGACCGAGCGCTTTGACTCGTTATTTCGGGCGCGGGATGAGACTTCTTTGGTTCGGTCAGTCTCGTCTGCAAGCTGCTGCTGCTGCTTTCACATTGAAGGCAGAGAGTTCCTGCGGACCCTGGCATACCGGTACCAGACATACCTATTCCGACGTGTTGATGATATCCAAGGCCCCGGCCGGGGTGGTGTGCGTGCGTGCGTGCGTACCTGATGCTGGTTCCAACGAGAGCCGGAGTTCGCTCATTTTGGCCAAAGGGGAAGGGGAAGGGGAAGGGCAAGGGAAGGGGAAGGGGAATGGGGAGAGGAGAGGAGAGGAGAGGAGAGGAGAGAAAAGCCCCCTTTGTGTGTTATGGTGGCAGTGGTCAGTCTCGCACAACTGCATCCATCCTCCAAGGGGATGCGCCGCCCCAAAGTTTCAACAGTTTCGCAGAATTCGCAGCATTGTCGACAGGTCGGTATCTGGGCCATCCACAATGACATGGGACAGAGCCATCATCATGACTCTCTCTCGCTCTGCCCGTATTCACTCCTGCCCCGCCTCGCTTTGCCCTGATGCGAACGCCTGCAGCAGGACACGACTGGGAACCGTTGTACTTGCCCGCAAGAGAGCACGGGATGGCCCACGAGGTTTCTTCCTGGTAAGGAAAGCCAGTGATTAGTCACTTTTGCCGTCGTGTTTTTTCTCCGATAGGGTTAGGCTTGACAGTGTATCCGCACTTTCCTGTTCAGCGTCGACATGGACTTCCAACTTGTAAGTAATTCTTCTGCGGGTAGCGTAAACGCAGAGTGGGGGGGGTTCAATAGTGTCCCACGATTACTCGGCATCCGATATATCCTAACCCCCTCTCTCTTCCCCCCATCCCCTTCCCTGCACTGGAAAGACACAAGCTGTATCCGTAGGAAACGGATACATAGGTAGTAGCAATCAGACGTGAATTCATAATGGCAGCGCGATATAGCCGGATTCCACGGCACGCTCTCTTATTGTCCTTCATATAACCTGGGCCCCGCCTCTGCAAGGCAACGTTGACGTTGATCATGTCAATACAAGCGCCTTCTTATTTGAATTGGGACCTCCGCTAGTGTGCCTCGTACAAAGTAAAAAAATTATTATTAAGAGACTGGCTTGACATTGTATTGACAGCCCTCTGGCAGCCGTTGGTTGGGTAGGATTTATCCCACTTACAGCCCATGTTCATGTGACGGAAAATGTGAGATGACTGGCGCAACAAGTGTGACCCATGTCGGTATCTGTACAAAGGGAAAACGTCCCCGCGTAACACACCCGGCCTGAATGGGTGCTCACCCGCCGTTGAAGATGTTTCAATCTGTACAAAGATACACACACCCGTCAACTCCTGGCCGCGGGGCGATCCGCGTTTGATTTCCCCTTGACAGCTGGAGCCCACTGTTGTCGGGCCTGCACCCGTGAAGCTTGCGCTCTCTGCACCAGGCGTAGAGCCTCCGTGTACGGTGTTTGTGTGTCTCCCGGACAATTCCTCCATCTCGGCGCCGTCAGTCGTCTCCGATTTTCGGCAGCCTCGGGTGCGACTCATGTTCTAGGAGCTGAAACCGTCGACATCTATCCGTACATCCGTTCTGGTTGACCGCGTCGTGGACTGGCCCCAGCATCGACAGTAGCCTTGGGGGCTTCATCGTCGAAACCAAGTTGAGGCTCAAGACGATCTCCCTGCCGTCCGGCAAGACTGGTCCCGGATCCTCCCAACTTGACCAATGCGCCAGAGGCTGGCTCTCTTCGTGGCTCCTCCCTTCATCCCCCCCTCCCTCTCCCAGCGCACTCATCTCAGACGTGGTTGACGCCATACGTGTTTATAGTGGGCCTTGCAATGGCTGTCCAGTCTGGTCGTGCGGTCCCGAACCTTAGTCTCGACTTTATCCTCGAGAATTGACGCGAATTTGTCCGGGCAGGCATGTGCCTGATCGACTTGCCAAGCAATCGATAGCCCAATGCAACGGCAAAATTTGGCTCAAGCGCGCGGCGTTGAGGACCATGATCGGTCAGCTGCCGAACGATGTCATGAACATTGAGTTGTGACCCCCATCGATCCGCCCGTGATCTAGCTCGGCGCAGCGTGGTATTGTAGCCGTGAGGCGGTTGTGATGTATATTCCATTGATAACAGTGTCGCAGTAGACTGTAAGGGCAACCGAGTCTCTCCAGGCTCAAAGCCACCCAAAGCTGGCTGCCCCTCGGCGCGCTCCCCCCCCAGCTTGCGCGCCTCGCTGGTTCGGACCCGGGCTAGAACGCTCGTTCCTGACTAGGAGCTAGTGTGCGGGGGATGGAGGACCCTTTCAGAGCACTGGCCAGTGAGAGAAGCAGTGCGGACGCCCCTGGGTTAGGGATCGTCCTCCTCCAGCCTCCTCCAAGGCCCGAACAGCATCCCATCCCTGTGCCTCTGTCATCGAGACAATTATTTTGTGAAGGGCGTCGGCCTCGACGGGGAATAGAACACTCGTCTTGTACACATGAACGGCTAGCCACCGGAGCTCCGTTCAAGCCACGCTGCGGCAGCGAAGCTACGTTATATTAGTAGCCCACTCGAGTGAGGTAGCGCAAGAAATCCACAGAATGCGCTGCCTGCCGAGTCGGGACTCTGTGCCAGGCGTTTCTTGGCACTCATGATTTGCACACTTGCCGAGCCGCCGATGCTTGCGAGAGTTGCCATTGACAGCGCAGGTTAGGTGCTCTGTACGTACTAGTGTAGGTAGTAGGGACCCGGATTGGCGTGGGAGTGAGGGGTCTTCGTAACTTTCGGGTTCCATCAATGATACGTCGGCCGCGTTAGACGAGGCTCACCGGCCTGTGGCGCGCGTGGTGTAGTGAAAGTAGCCGCCCTTGGGTTGGGCAGGGCGTCTGAGACAGAAGAGCGTAATTGTGCCGCTGAACCGCCTCGTTTTTGGCACAAGATGGCGGCCCTGAGGCTGTTTCTCAAGGAGATCATCAACCTGCATACTACGGTAGTGTCGCAGAGGCGGAGACTTTGGGGTGGATTCCTGCTTCCCAGGCAGAGACGTGTTTGGGCTTCCACTAGTGCATCTCGGTCTGCAGCTCTGTTCCCTAGCACTAGCAGTGATATTGTGGAAACCATCTCGCACTCTCGTTGAATGCACTGCGACACCGCTAGCAGAGGGTCGCGTAAACGACGAGTCAGTTGCGTACTACGGTATCCGTAGATTTGGACGAACTCTGGCCGGAGGAGAACCACCAACATCTCCGGGCTGGTGCGAGTCCAGGCACCCGGCGTATGAAAGTCGGCGACTGAGGAGGTGTGGTTTGGCGGACTTGCGAGGGACTTGCGAACCGTTACCGAATACAGTGATCACCACTGTATTATCCAACTTGATACTCCGTACCCATCCAAGGTGATACGGTGAAGCTGGAATTTAGTGGTCTGGTGGCAGACCTTACGTGACATTCGACCGGTGTGCTCAGGCCACAATCCTCCAACAAGAAGAAACAGACCGAGCAGGGCATGTTGCGCTGTTTGCTGCAATGACGGCAAAGCCCGCTGTCAGATCAGGCGAGGGCGGCGGGCAATGGATCCGGCTGCAAATGAGGGCGGATCATGACAGGCATTGCCTGCCTCGCCGGGATGAGAAGACGATTCTTCAGGTGACGGCCTGAAGCAAGCCAGATGGCCCTTGGCCGAGATGGACGGGGCAGGGTTTGGCAAGGCTTGTCGATGGTGCAAGCGGAGTGGTGTCTGACGGCCAGCGGCTCTAGACGAACAGGCCCAACGACAGAATCGGATTCGAGGTTCGAAATGGAGGCAAAGAACTGGGTCGCGGCTGACGAAGGAGGCAACTAGGTATCCGTCCGCTGTATCCGTACTCCGTACTCCGTAGACCTTGAGCAAGCTAAGATAAGGTATTCCGTCTGCGTCTGGCTGTCAGCCAGCCCCCCCCCTCCCCTCCGTCCAGAGACCCGAAGGAATGGTATGGGACTGCGGCACAGGTGAGCAGAGAAAGCCAAGTCGGGCTTGGTGTGTCCCCTGGGGGCCATTGCTCACACTGTCTGCTGCCCGCCGGCATGGCTCAGAGCTGGGGCTGGCGCGCCGCACAAGGGCAGCTTGGTGGCCGAGGCGTGGGATCATGCAGCGGTTTCCATTGGCTTGGGTTTGGTGTTGCCCGGTTGGCAGCCAATGTCCCTTGCCATTGGACAAGACCGTGGCTACAGCCGGCATCGGAAATTTCCCTCACTCTCTCTGCCCGCCCAGGTACGCCGCACGTCAGGTTCCCAGCTCCAAGCAGCAAGCAAACGACGGACTGACCAATAGAATACCCTCATGTCGCTCCATTTGGACATGCCTTGTCAGGGTGTGTGCTGGCCACGAGAGCTCCCCTATCATCTACACGGTATTATTATCCCTATCTGTGGTTTTGCAACGGTGTCGTCGACGTCACCACTACTCCAGCCCAAGCACAACGGCTCAACTGGACTCAAGGTCTTCTTACCAAGCCAACAACCAACCATTACTTGGCCCATGAGCCGGCGGCTCTGGTTGTTATACAGCTAGTCTGCTACTATGCTTCGTTGTTGTACTTGCCGATAACTTGGTCTCAGCGGGCTAATGCCCCTCCTAGCTCGGGACCCTCTGATTGCTCATCATACCTCGCATCTGACCAACAACGCTCACACGTGACTTGGGCAATACCCAATTGACAACTGCCGTGAGTCCACAGACCGGTTGTCTGTTTTGGTTGCCAATTTCAAGCTGCTCTTTTTTCCGGCTGCCCGGTCCACCGCAAGTCTCGGTATACTGCGGCTTTGTATAGATCAATGTCGCCGTGCCCGGAATCTACCAGGGAGGGCCCCGGCTCCACGACCCGGCGAGTGTAGAAAAAGGCACCGTCCTCTTCCACTGCCTGCCGGCCACGCTCATAACCCGCCGCGAATACACGTTGTGCGTTGAAGCCAAAAATGCTTGTCGCGACACTTCTTCTTAGTTGTTCGTGACCCTTGAACCATGAAAAATCCCCTGCATGTTCGCTGTTATAGCGCTGGAGACACGAGTGCTCATCCTGGCGAGACTAGGTTCATGGTTAATCCACAGACGAGGTCCCGTCTGGCAAAAAAAAGGTACCTATCTTCAGCAGTCCCTGACTCCCTTCGGTCCATCCCCGTCTCCAATGTTCAACACACAAGAGGGAGGGAAGTGGGCATCGAAAGTCGAAACCCCCACATGCAGTCCAACGTTGCTCTGGCTGTCTGGGATTACTGAATCTGCCCAGGGCCGGGTTGCATCGAAAAAGAGGATATGCCACAGCGGAGAGCATGAGCAGGCCTAGGGTTTTGCTGTCAACGTTTGATGTGCGCTCACGGATGAAAGAAGCCTGGACCATTTGTCGAACCTGTCTGTCGAGCCAGGCCCACCAGCCTTAGCACTCATCAATTGCTGAGGGGTCTCCTAGGGTTGTGGAAGCGGAAGTGCGCTTAATAGGTCAAGTCGCGTTCGATTCCAGTCGACGTCAACTGGTGTATTAGCCGACCGACTTGCTTTTAGGATAACGCCTTCCTCTGTATGAACATGTCTTTGAACTTTGAAGCCAGTTTGGACGCCATGCTGGACTGGCGTGCTTTGGTGACGGCCTCGTCCAGAGTCCGCTTAACCAGACTGCGGGCTTGATCCTTGATACCTTGGTTGTGCGGCCGTCCATGTGCTTTAGCGGCTGTCCAAATGGTAAACCCGAAACATTGGAACCTTTTTTTTTTCCGCCCTTGATAACGTGCCGGCAACGAACGATTTAACCAATATTCAATCACCCGGTGACTAGGACACAGGTTCGCACTCGACACCTGGCTTGAGGTTATTCTCTGACTGCCCACGGCGGCGAGGTCGATATGGAGCTTTCGGGCAGGTAGGCCAATCCAGGCGAACTGAGTCCTCAGACTGTTTGTCTGAGGGGTACAGCCACGGACCACACAAGAAGGGGGGGGGGCAAAGAACGCTCCAGACATGCCTGAGCTGGCTGGCAATCCAGGTTTCAGCAGGGGATTTTCCATTCTTCTGCCCACACAAACCCACAAAGGCTCCGACTGCGGCGGAGACACGGTGCCGGTCTATCATGGGAGAAAGTATCCTCCTGGTCCTCTTGGGTCGTTCTTGATATGCACTATGACGAGCCTCTTCCAGTAATTTTTTTGGACAATTTCCAGTCGTCTGGATCAAGGTTGGCCAGACATGGCTTCGAGAAGATTGGCATCTTGTTAGACCCCGGTGTATTCTTCTTTCTCAGTCTTCTTCAGTGCCTCGTCTCTGGACCATGGCGGCGAAAATTGGAGCAAGTCGGATGTGTCCGTGTCCAATCTCCCCATTCCAGACAAGGGTGTTTCTGGTGCTAGGTGGCTCGCTCTGAAAACAACGGTTCGATATATCACCGGTTATTCGGCCACAGCCTCTGGAAATCGCGGCGAAGGAACAAATTAGTCTTGGCGAATCGTGGAAAATTCCACAATAGTTTTTTCAGTCGACATGTCTGACACGGAGATTTCCGCAGATACCGAGAAAGCAACGTTCTGAGTCTGCTTCACTCGATGAGAGACACATGATGCTTTCGTCTGATACTATAGTTCTCTCGAACTGCCCCCACATGCGCTAAGCAATACAGATAGCACATGGGTGATTTCGAGGTATCTTTCCTGCGAACTCAGCCCATTGCGAAAGCCCCTCGTCGAGCTATGCTCTGCCTTGGATGCAAACTGGCATTGCGAGCCACATGCCCTGCGTCCAAATATTTATGTCTCTTTGGCGCTCGTAAATTTCTTGTGCATTGCCTCCATCCGGCGCCTCCTTTCGAATCATCACCTCGGTCTTGCAGGGTCGCTGACGCAGAGAATCTCGGTTTGGCAAAATCTGGGGCGTCCCAAGGATAGCATGTATATCTCAAGAACGACCTGCAAGACGATGGTACGGAATCACCTCCTTATCCAACCAGTAATTGATTGGGTTCCGCACCCATGCAGATGGTGATGAACGAGACGCAGAAAGATGGAGGCAGGTACGAATAGACGTGTCAATTGTGCGACTGAGCGTAGCTGCAAGTTTTGCCCCCGCAGTTCCCACTCGCCGCTTGGTTATTCTTCTTCATATCGGCCCCTCGGTACGGATACCCTCAATAAGATGGTCGGGGCCGCACGTCCGTTGTGATGGCCATGGGTGCTCTCTCTGTATGGTGTTGAAAAGATCTCCCAGGCGGGTCGTCCAGATTCGTGCGAGGGTAGAGCGGACATGCTGCCGTAGAGGTCATCCCAGAGCATCGCGGGAGACAAAAAATGGCGTGATAGTTTGGGGGGTTCAGGGCGGTGACGAGCTAGTTGTTGGCAGGGTCGCATAGCAGAGGACGTGCGCCGCAGGAGCAGTCCAGGCCCCCTGGATGACAGACTTGGGATGGCGGAAGACGATCTCTGCGAAAGTAGAATTCCAGAGCCTGAGCTCGCGGAGGCCTGGATGAGATGTGGATACATCCACTGGCAGGCCTGGGGGTTCCTTAACCGCTTCAGCAAGGGAGATCCACGGTACAGAAGGGTTGTTCCCTTCCAGACGGGAGGGACAAAGATGACGGGCAGCAGAGCCATCGACGTCAATATGCTGGGCAACGCAACGGGCGGATCTGGTCCGAACTGATGCTGGTGTCGCGCGCCATACTCGAGGACATTTTCTGGTATTGAAGGACATCCATGGCGTCCCGAGTTGGCAGCATGTTGCGCCCGAATATAGAGCCTCTAGTAAATCCGAGACTAAAAAGAAGCTTGCAGTTTGCGACAACGGTAGTCCGTTCTGAAATGAAAGAGACAGTGAAACGGCCAGTCGAAAGCGTGTGGCTGATGCCGATGCTGGCTGGGGCACCGGCGTAGCTGTGTGTGAAAGCCATTGGCCGAGCCAGTCGTTCCTGCATAGGGGCGGAACCTGCATGAATGTATCCGTACGGATACCCCTATATTTGGTGAGTACTAAGGTTCTTCTCCCCTGGACAATGGCGGGCCTCTGGAGTTCGTGGAAGATGAACTCCAGCTCGGCGCAGCCGTGATTACACGTTGAAGATTCTTCGTCCCATCAATGCAGTGCAATCAGTGTCACATGTCTACTCTGCAATGATTGCATGATCCATTGATCCTGAATCCAGCCGGGAGTGCGATATCTTACAAGTCGGTGGGCGGAGACAAGTCAAGGGAACACCATTGACATGATCCGCAAAAATGGCCAGGGAAAACACCAGAAGGCGGTATGGGAAGGGTTACCAGGCGGCGTTGTGCGAGTTGTGGAGACAAGTCCCTTTCTTGAACGGGCTTCCCTCTCTGCTCGGGCTTCCCTCTCTGCTCCTCATGTAAACGCAGGCGAGGTTCAACGATTCACTTTGACTCTCTATATTGAGACCAGGGCCGGCGTTGTGCTGATGGTTCCAATATACGGCAGTGTCCTCGGCCATTGGTTCCAGATCGTCCCAGCGACTCCTTGGTATGGTTCGGGTCGACATGAACGGCGTAAAGTTTACAGTGAGACCGGGTGCCGGAGTTGCGTCCACCTCAAGCTAATGCACGCCCTTTCACGCAGTAGAGGCGAACATATGGTCTGTGGTACGGATAGTGGCCGTCGCATATCGGGAGAGTGTTTCGCTAGCGGTGCAAGGCCACAGTCGGCACTCTACGCGTGTGACTAACGTGATGTTTGAGAGGTGATTAAAAATCGCCGTGTCATGTGTGTGATGGCACATGTTCTCGAGACTTCTCTGACGGTGGGAATATGAACGAACCATGGCTGGCAGCGAGGAGGGTTTACATTTGAACTTGGCGTCGTGCCTATAGAGCCGGGAGGCGTAGTAAGTGGTCCGGTCGGGATCTGTTCTTGTCGAATGTGAACAGATGGACAGGTGCCAGGTATGGCAACCCCGTACTCTGAAAAACAACCATGCGCCGTACGTTCACAAGTCGATTGGGAGACACGGTCGTGGAGTCGAATGAGGACGGATATAGATCCCGGTCGAGAGGCAAGATTCTTGGCCGCCGCGAGTACTTCGGGAGGTCTGTTCGCGGTTCTTATTCTCAAAGACTGATCTGGTGCGTGTGGCGTCAAGTTCCGGGGGGTCAATTTTCTGCTCGCCACGTTCCTTGTCTCCGACGATGATGGCGAGAGAGCTAACCATGAAGGGGCGCTGCAGCCGAGATGACGCACGGAGTGCATTCGCCTTTACGGCCAGCGCTGAAATCAAGTACACATTGGTTGACTTGTTCTTGGTGATGTTCGCCATGCAGAATCTTGGGCATCTCGGATGATGGATCATTGTCTGTCACTGGAGGGTCTGGTCATTTTCAGGACACGGCACGGCACAGTGATGGGCCTCGCCACTGCGGTGAACAGCCAAATGTCATAGTCGGAGAGACGTGTTCTGCCCAAAGCAGATGTGCGCTGGTGGCCGCATTCGTTGCGGTTGCGGTTGCGGTGGTGGTGGTGGTGGTGGTGGTGGTGGTGGTGGTGTGTGAGGTCGTCGAGTGATGCCCGTCCTTGGGGGATCCGGTCGTTCTCATCACGTTGGCGGCCTCGGGAAAGAAGTCGCTGGTTGCCTGCCCAAATCAGGTAGAGAATGAGGAGGGTTCCGTAGAAGGCATTTTCAGAAACTGCGTTTAACATTTTTTTCCGGCATACCTTAGGCCTACTCGAGCCTACACGAAGTAAGGATATTTCCTTCCTCTTGCATTGTCAGTGGACGGGTTACAACTGCTTAATCGCGACGCCTCACTTCACTTTCCCAATTTACCAGTATAGAAAATGGAAGCTTAAGCAGGCAGGCACCATCCCCGTTGCTGAGGTAATCAGGCTTGTCCTGAATGATGTGGAAGGAGAAGTATCTGCCACTTGATGTCACCTGCTCTGTGAGTGACCAAAGTGAAGATATCCATTAAAAAAAAAAGACACGTCCTGTTTCGAGCCCGTTTCAGATCAAGTGATTTTACGGGGTCTGTTCATTGGCCTGCCGGAGTCTGGAACAAGTGAGAGCTCACCGGTCCTCCGCCCCAGATCCTCTCGAGTGCAGCTTCTCTTACGCTGACAAGCCACCTATCTTCAAGCTCCCAAGCAGCTCAGCGGTGGTTGGGAAGACAAGGAGGGTCCTGGAGTGGGAACTCATACATCATCATGATAGAGACGTCGGTATCTGTACAGAGTACAAACACTAACCTCGGTCTTGTCGCCATGCCCCACGGAGAGGGTCATCCATGACAAGGCCCCCGGGCACTGGCCTTCATGGTACAGAATGAGCACCAATCCATCAATACAGGTTATTTCGCAAAGTGTTGGCCAAACCAACTCGGGCGTAGCCAGACCGCCAACTCCCAGCCTCTCCCAAGCTGAACCGCTGTTTTGCACTAGTAGTCGCCACATGGGGCCTTCAAAGGCGAGGCCTATAATAGTTCCCACGTTTTATCCCGGGCGATCACCACTCCCACGTGAGGACCAGTGGGCTAAAGCCTTCTCCGGTCCTTCTTCTGCTTGTCCATCTTCGTCGCTCGGTAGGTACTGATCCCAGGGCCTACGATGACACCCCTCGAGTCTCGAACCAAATAATTGCCAAGCAAATGGAAACAAGAGGCAATAGTAATTGGCATTTCGCAAAGGTTCACCCCCGATCCGCAAGAAGTGGCAAATTCAGCAGGCTTTGATGGTGTCAGCCAGCCTGGATCCAGGATGCTCAGGGCAGAGCGGGCCACTAATCGACACAGGTAGCATCGTGCACACATACTGGTAATGGCGTGTATGCCCGTTTCGTCATGTTTTCTTGCCTTCCGCACCTATCGCCTGATCCGAGCGACCATGAGCCCGCGTATCTAGTAGTCTGAGTTTGTGTTGTACTTTAGTGTGGCAACTGCGCACACTCTCCCCCTCATTACGAGGGAAGTCGAAGGGGCCTGCCTCTTGTGGTGTGACGACTGCTATCAACTCCAGCGACCAGACGGCATTTCCCGTCGCGGACCGTCCACTGTATAGTGTTTATCACCAGAACTTAGATTCTCAGGCACCAAAGTCCGAAGAGAGCCGTTGAGACTTACGGTGAAATCTGTGTTTAGGCGTTTGATGTGGTAGCGGGAGCAATTGCCATGCGACGCAAAATCAAGGAACTGGACCAGTGGGACTTCCTTAGCACCTGCAGTAGTCCCCCTCATGGATTTGTTACCCCATAAGGATGACATGGACGTGACCGAGGCACACCTCCCCGGTCCAGTCGTCGAATTGCGTCGAAAAGTGGTACGAGACTACTATGTTCAGCAACGACTAAGTCTAGCCACTTCCTCTACGGATTCTTTACCAGTTTGGACGAGAGACTGGCAACGTACGTATAAGGCACGTATACGAAATCCGGGACTCAATATTGGACGCGAATGGTGGCAGAGTCCATGTAAAATGCAACCCCCACAGTCGGCCGGTGGCACGGGCAGGAAGCCAGACACAAACAGGACAGGGCCGGGAAACAAGCAGAGGCAGGCCAGGCATATCAGCCTCGCTTCGTCAGCATCTTGGTCGCAGGACATTCACTTTCAATTGGAGCGACCACTCGTCCCTTCCCCCCCTTTTTTCCCTCTCTTCGTGCCTGAACCGAGACGAAGCGTCGTAGGTCTGTGCGCAACCAATGTCATAAGCAAAATGGAGAAGGGGACGTCGTTTTGGACAATGGTCGCAGTCCGCAAGCCATGGAAGCGGAACGAGAACGGGTGGGTAGACAGGATAATGGTTAATCATCGCGTGGTAGAGGAATTGAGGCAGACGGAGACGCAATGAGGTTGAGAGACTCTAATAGACTCTACTACCTGACAATACATGATGCAGGTAGTCATTCGAGAGGGGGCTCTTGGTAGCATTCGGGAATTTCTAGTCTGATCTGAGAGGGGCAAGGGGCAGAAGGCAGGTAGGTAGGTGCCTTAACGTGGAGGCCATGCTGCTGCACAAAGCCACATGGGGAAAGCCACAAGTGGCGTTGACAGATTATCACAAAGACGGTCAAGTCGTTTGCAGCAGAAAGTAACACAAGCTAGCCCACCTGCATTTGTTTCGAGCCAGAATTTGACCACGTCTGGCTCACTCACACTCTGAGGGCTTATTAGATGCGTGGAGGTGAGGTGGGTGGTGCAGCGTTCAATTCATGTGGGGTCGATTTGGAAGACGATGATTTGTTCAGGCAGATTTGGGGGCCGGTGGGAGGCAAGGAGCTGCGGAGGAGGGTTGGGGTAGCTCGAGGGCGGTGAGGCAGCGAGGTGTAAACCGAATGTGAAGTTGCTGCAAGGAACGAGGGAAGGAAGGACACTGCTCCATCCTTTTCGGCCCAAAGTGGGGCAGAGATGAACCGTGAAGGTATGGGTGGGCACGGCTCAGGTACGGGTCATTGCGGGGAAGCGAAGCGGCACAAGGAGGCAACAACGAAGAACCTAAAGGCAAGAGGGCTTGAGGGAAGGCATGTAAGTCAGAGCTCGGCATTGGAAGAAGTCGCGGCAGACTGAGATGACGCCGGTATTTCGGTTGACGCAGTTGTTTCCCGAAAGACGTCTCTTCAAAGTAAGAGTAGTACGGCAGGAAAGCATGCAAAAATGGGAACAGGGAGGTGCACCACTGCCCCCAAGCGCGATGCTCTTGTAGGTGCAAGTAATTAGAAACAACAAGCCGTGCCTTCCCTCTACAGCATTGAGGTGAGGTATCAGCCTGCCCTGCCAAAGGAGGGGGAAGGATGGACATACGCCAAAGGAAGTACAAGTGACGACGATGATGTTTGTCCCCCCCCTCCATTGCCACGTTTTCTCAGGTCCCAAAACAATGCCAGCCGCAAAACCCCTCGCTTCTTTCTTGTGCCTGGACTCTGGCCTGACATGCGCATATCGCGACCTTCGCATACACAGTACACCACCCAAGACGTTCAACATCACCTTCAGCCCCTCCGCCCGTGCACCATCTTGTGCCCACCGCTCTTTAGGTCTCCAACTCAACCGATCGTTAACCTTTTTCATTGCGCATAACAGTACCATCCAATGGACAGCCATACCACCCTACCCCCACCTCGGCGTCGTGCGTCGTCGACAAGTGAGGGCATCTTGCACTGTCACTACCAGGCTGCTAAGCAGTGCATATTACACTTCACCACCTGCACTCCACTTCGTCGCCCAGGACACCCTCTTCGATATTGGCCGCTTTCGTCTCGTAGGGTATCAGGCTGTGGGCAGTTGAATGCTAGCTCTCATCGAGACATCTAGACTTTGTACCTCCTCCTCGCGCTACTCAAGCCTTTTTGCGTGGCGGATCCGGCCGGCCGGGGCCGTTGTTGCCGTTACGCCCGGTCTGGGAGCACGGTGTACTCAAGAGCAGCCCTTCTTTGGCCGCTATGTCTGCCGCACCACCATCCCATGTTCGAACTGCCTTACCGATACCAGCAAGACTCAAGGGCCTCATACACGAGAGATTGTACATCATCAGCGCTAGACAACATGGTATGATGGGATGCATGTAAACGGTGCTGGATCGTCTCCAACAGGGTGCCTCGGCGACGATATCCTGCCTTCGCACTCTTTGCCCTGCTGGCTCGGTTACGACTGACGTGCATGGCAATCTCCAATGGTCCAGTTTTGGCCAAGGCTCTCTCAGCTCTCCACCAGCGACAGCTCCGGCTCCGAAGTGTGGTTCCCCGGCACCTCTTCGTCGAATCCCGCATTGCGCTATCATCCCTGTCCGCTAGGATCGGCCTGCTTCTCTAAGCCCCGACCTCACAACTTCCTAGAGGGCCTAGCCGGCAAGGAACTGCCAATAGGCTCCATCGGAACGGGGCCTTTGCATGCCACCGACTCCTGTCAGGAGGGCAAGGCCGCGATGTGTAGCTAGGGTTGATAAGGTAGGCCACCACCGAGCAAAGAGGGACCGCCATTGGTGAGCCGCTCCTCTGTAACCTATCAATGCCCGCAGCCTCACACCACCCGCCTCTCGCGCACGGGCATCTACTGTCGGAAATCTACTATAGGACAACCCTCGATTAGTCTCCGACAAGTGACTGTCGCTTGCGACTTTTCAGATGCAGATCCAACGTACGATGGTAAGACGAACAGGGGAGACGACAAGTTCAAGCCGCTATTCGCGCCAATTTATTTGGCTGCGCATTGGATGCGTTCGTGGCTGCTGGATGAAGTGACTTTGGGTTGATAATGCGTATCTGGGGCTTCAAGTCTGAAGACTAGCTGCGACTTGACAAGCCGCTTCTTCTCTCCTGATTGACGTGGAAGAATATGCTTATCAAACCCACCGGGAAGAGTCATCAAGCCGCCGAGGCGTTCGTTGTCTTCCATTGCGCATAACGAATCCTGCGCTTATTCTATTATAACCCATCTTCGACACGACACGGTACTACCAGAGGAGGGGGGATACAAGACACCTAGACAGACTAACCGTGGCTGCAAGATGCGCGGGGACAGGCCATTGCCAGCCCCGTGGTGGCCCATGTCACCTTAACGTCTGCCCAGCGGCGGGAAGGGATGTGGCCGCGGTGACAGGTAGTCCACAATGGGGGGGCATTCGACAGTAGACGAGAAAAGCAATGGGAGGCTTACAGCGTTACGATAACCGCACGAATCAATCCCCCAAGCGACGCAAGTTAAACAACGTGTTGTGCCATCACGGCCACATACCCGTCTGCGACTGAGTTCTGCAATATCAGTCAGCAGCCGCCCTGACACCTCTCAGTGTCTTACTCACTCCGTACCTCGTCGACAAACCAAGACCCAAGCTATGAGCGAAGAGTTCCCAAACGAGCACCAAATGTGACTTATCATTGGTGGCCGGCCAGGATACTACACCCTTTTCCCAATACAGAGACCTGGAGTCCGGGGTAACTCTAGGGCATCAAAGCTTGAACCAAGCCGGACCGAGAGACTTGATGATTCGCAGATTCAGACGGCTTCACACTAGCGACAGCGATTAAATGAGGCCATATCCGTACAAAGTACGTAGATATTAGCCCAATGCTTCCAAATGCTATACAGGGGAATTGTGACGGGCAATGAATGGCGTTAGTAGGGCTACCCGCCTAGCTTCAAGCTCACCCCTGAGAAATTGGCATTTGAGTTAAACACCCAAGGACTTGCAACCTGCTCAAGGTGGTCAGCTTGAACATGACAAGCGCAAACAATCAGCCCGACATCCAAGACGTATCCGCCGCGGTTCAAGTCAGTCTTTGCAGATTACAGATACATGCCGCCGTCGGCCTGCTAGGACCCCTTTTTTTTTTCTTTTCCCAGGTTCGCTACGTCTACAGGGAATATCTGCACAAATCGAGTCAAGCTCTAAATACAGCACATTTGCAACGTGCTTGACGAAATCACGGCATCTCCATTATCAGACCCTCCACGAAGCAGGCCCCTGTTCGGAACACCACTTCGGATGCGAGCCGGTCTGAGAGACGGTTGAAAAATGTCATGCTAATGCCCCTTGCACGTCCTCGAGGGGGGGTTGATGGCCGCGCTGCGCCGCTGGCCCAGGTGAAGACAGACCTGCCGTGGGGCCTCGCCTGAGCATTGAGGATGATTGACAAATAGCATGGATTCCCCTGCCTCATCTTGGTAAAGAATTTCGCGCTGTGCGGGACGGTTGCAACCGCTCCAAGTTGTTTATTCCACCTTCGACAAATTGCCAGCTGCTCTCTAATACCGCGCTCTCAAAGGCGTGACGAGAAATAGTGCCAGTGGCCGAGGAATTGCTAGATATTCCTTTCGAACGAATGGGGAATAGAAGGCTGTGATGATTGTGACACGAAGATGAATCTGGCATAGAGCAATGCCCGCGAATCGATTGGAGATCACTACCCACCCCTCACCTCGTCCTCCGACAGCTTTTCAATAAGGCATATGCCGGCTATCGGCTTCGCGAGGCTAACATGCGATGCGTTTTTTGTCAACAAGTATTAATCGACAACGACTGCTCGTAAGGCTACATCAATACAACTAAATTCCAGTAGCCCAGAATTGATCTTTTATGAGACCGGGCCATCTTCGCCGGTCAATGCCCATGATGAACATCATATGTTTGTTGAATATTCAAGTTAATGGCAGCGGACAACCCAAGGCTGGACCCTACGCATGACCGATGACGGTTCTGCGAGCAGACAGCGATGGCTTGTCCAGGGGAGACGGGAGCAATTCGTTCCGATTCGTGACAGCGGGTTTACGGACATCTTGAGCGAGAGAGGGGAAGTCAGTTTTGGTTTGACAGGGGTACAGGAGAGGCAAATCCCACAAAGACACCACTCCTTCACCCGTGCTCCTCTACTGCATGGAGAAGAGGACCAGCAAATCTTGCCCCCTGGGCAGCGTTGAGGCAGTGTGTCTGTATGAGGAGGGCTAAATCCAAGGATGGCTAAATCCAAGGATGGCTAACAAAACAGGCCCATTCGGAGATGCAGTCTTGAAACAACGGGGGCCCTTCGCAGCGCTTTTCGGTGCCCGGCGGTGCATGAGTAGTCACCGCAAAAGACTATGACGAAGTGCACTATGATACGTCAAGGAATATCAATCGAATTTGTTTATTGGGGGCGGACATTGTCGGTAAGTCTCCAACAGAACAGGGGCCTGCAACGAGACGAGCCCAGTGATAAGAGAGCCAGGGAGTAGGGACGAGATGCCAGGGCGGTCAGCGCCACAGGACTGGAGTGGGCAAAACCCGTACCGGCTACGAGCCCGGCTGGCCTAGCCCGGACCAAGCCCGGACTGTGGCCAATCCATTCGCCCTGCCATAGTCTGGCAGATGTAACTCCGGCATGCAGCTGTCGTCGACGGCTCTTGTCGAGACCATGCGTTTGGCGGAGTATGCTGACACCCGGTGATTGATGTGTTTGAATGTAACCGAACATGGAGGGGCCATGCTCATATGAGGGGCGAAGCCTCCACCGCGAAGTTGACGACGGCATTGCATTCATTGAAGCGGTACGGACGGCACTGACATGTTGACAACTACGGATGGAGATGAGGAGGGGCATCCGGAGGGGGCCATTCGCAAGCTTGTGAGCACTTTTATTTTTGGTTTTTTTTCTCGGTTTTTTCTTTCTTGGATTCATTCTTTCTCAAGTTCAAGCTCTGGGACACGCCTTCGTCGTAAGACCTTGGAACATTGGCGTGCCGCTGGCGGGCGTGAATAACCCAGATGCTTGTTTGCTGGGTATGAGACCCGTCACAATAGAATTTCCTTCGTCGCGGGCTGATCGAAATACGCTTCGTCAACAAGAGTCGCTTTCCAATGGATTACTGACGCGGCCTTGAGGCTTTGCGGCGACCAAGACTGGTTCGATAGTTATGCCGTGACGACCTCAAGGACTCCAGGGAGGCCCGGAAACTTGAAAGACGCAAGAGATTGCCCTAGCACATCAACTTAGACAACTGGAACGGTGACGAAGCCACGGTACTCCACGGAAAAGGCGGATCACGATCAAACAAGGACAAGAAGCTTTCTTGTCTGTCATCCGGCACGCAGTATGCAGTCTAGTGCAGCTGCGACAAGCTTGCATCGATAGACGGGCTGAACGACGAGGATGCGACGCAAGGAAGAAGCAGTACACTTCGCAGTAGGCGGCTGCCATTTGGCAGCGCTGAGATGACATGAAGATGCCACACATCTGCAGATTCCTGGTCAAACTCTAAAAGTTGCGGTACAGCGTAAGGAAGTGGGGAGAAGATGAGCCACACAGTTGAGGCAGGCAATCGGGCTGTGGCGGTAACAGAAACAGGGCACATGTTTGAGAGGAGAAGGTCGATACGCACTACAGAATCGAGTAAGGCGGTGGCCGGCGACGGATGGTCAGTCAGCGAAGGATCGTTCACTCGATACCTGGCTTGAATCTATTTGACTAGCCGGGTCCGAATCTCTCCTCCGCGGCTGCGACACAACTCGTCCGCTAGCCACCAGAGTTTGTGCGACCATACGGACAGCGCAAGATATCGTAGAAAGACTCTTCAGTATGACAGCCTCCTCGAGTCCTCCAGAGGCGACTTGCTCACTAACCTCACGGTCATGACTGAGGCGCGCTACGTCAGTCCCAAAGCTTACAACTTGGCATCCACCCACCATCGTTCAGAACGCCAAAGTCCCTCGTGAGCTGTGCTCTACTACGGATACATATATCGACAACACCAGCACCGAAAAGAGAGTATCGCGTCGACACATGCAACATGACACACCATCCTCGCTGTGCACCCCACCACCTTCGCTACCTGTCACTGCGGCTTCTCACGCCATCCCCGTTCTCTTCGACACCCTACGCAATACCTTAACCTGGGCCTGGGATGGGTCGGCAGCACTAAGGAGACAACCATCACGACGGTGGTCAGGGGGGGCAGAAAATGGTGTTTTTTTGCTCAATCTGCGGTGGGGGAGACAGAGAGCGAGCAGGGAGATAAGTCACGTACCTCGAGCAGGGGTGGCAGAGCGCGAGAGAGAGAGAGAGAGAGAGAGAGAGAGAGAGAGAAAAAGACACAGAGAAAAGAGGTGTGTGCCCCAGAAGCGGCCACCTCGGAGCCTAGGGGGGGACCCCGGCGACCATGGGCCTGCAGTAGGCCCGCATCCCTTTTTTTGCCTTCGGGTGCGGATGCTCTCCCACCCCTGCCGGGGGGTTGTTCTTGGCAAAGACTTTCTCGGGCGAGACCCCCCCCCCCCCCCCCCCCCCCCCCCCCCCCCCCCCCCCCCCCCCCCCCCCCCCCCCCCCCCCCCCCCTCCCTTCCCCCCCCCCCCCCTCCCCTCCCCCGCCGCCTCCCCTACCTCCCCTGCAGCGCCCTCCCCCGTGCCCCCCCCCCCTCCCCCTCCCTTTCCTCGCAAGCCCCTTGTCCCCTGAAGCGAAGGCCTTCGCTAGTAATGGCTTTGCAGACAGACAGGTGAGCGTCAAGGTCTCTTTCGGCGAAGGTCCTCTGTAAGCCCTGGCTGTACCTCTTCCCCTCTCCTGTTCCCCGTCTCCCTCTTCGGTGTCCGAACAATGTACCTACAGGCCTGCTGCGTTTGCGTCTGCTGCTGCTGTGCGCTGAAGAGGTAAGAGGTTGAGTAGGCAGGCAGACATTAGGGGTCGGGAGCAGGGAAGACGGACTTGGCCCCGAGACCGCGAAACATGTCTTCTCCTGCTGTCTCTCTCATTCCTTCGCCCTTTTCTTCATGGCTGAGCCGGGACGAAGGTTTTTGCCTGGTTTCTCGGTCATTTGTCTATATTGGCTCTTATCTCTTTGGTTTTCGGATGAAGGATGCGGATGAGGAGATTGACAGCGTTTTCGCCTTCTTTCTTGACCCAGTCATTGGGGGAGAGTTTGAGTTACTAGAGTTCATGGCTTACTTTTTGGTCCTCTCTCCAATATCTCCCGGCGGTCTTAATGGACCAGTGTTATCGAGAGCTCCTCTCGTCCCATCCACAGGCGCGCAGTTCGCGTTACCAATGGGAAACAACGAGTCATTGTGGGGGATTCCTGGTGGATCGGCTAAGAGGAAGCAGGAAGAAGAGTACATACTGTGCCTCTTGGCCACCGTCTACGAAGTACTCCGAGAAGTTTGGTATTTCTTTCTGGGCGTGGGCTAGAGGAGTGGGCGTGGGCGGAGGTGTCGAGTCGGAGCTAGAGCCGCTGGGCGTGGGAGAGCTATTCGTACCTTGCCTGAACTAGGTCGTCTGGATACGTACTGCATCTCCCTTCCAGCCCCTGGCCCCTGGATCCAGCCCCGGTGAGTGGCAGAGACCAGATGCAGAGACCAGAGACAGAGGAGAGACGAGAGCCAGACAGGGGGAGAGCGAGCTCAGTGGGTTCTGCAAGTACCTCTTGGATGTTTCCCACTGTCCTGTCTTGCCCTGTCGCCTCAACCACCTGGGCCTGGGCCTGGGCCTGCCCCTGTTGTCTGTACCTCGCCTGTCGAGAAACGACGGCGAAGAAGAAGAAGAACAACTTTGAACAGGACGGCGGGACAGACTCCAGTACTGTTGCGTAAGATAAAGTGAGTGATCAACTTCCGCCCCCCATTTAGCCAGGACTCCACGCCTGTATCTCATCGCTTGGCCACTTCTTTCTGCTCGCTCGGAAACGACTTAGGGGTTTGTCACACCTTGCACATGGGCGAAAGTCTTGCTACGGATACTCGCCATAACGACGTCCATATGGAACAAGGTTGCGACCGAGTGGGCGGATAACACGCCGTGGTTTTCACCTCCGTCGATGTTTGTTAGGCACGGTCAAAGTGGGATAGTCTTTATAGAGTATCCGCACTCGATGCTCCATGAAGACACCTGATGAGACAGCGACCTCAGCCAGACTGCAAGTTGCGGGGGTATGTATCTAGCGTTGTCAAACGTCCAGGACGAGTCGGGCTTCTTCGCCAGACTCCAATTTTGTGAGAAAAAACAGACCGGTACTGCCATGGTACGCCGAGAGAGCCAAACGTCTCGATCTCGGTCTAGCCTTGAAAGCCACCATTTTCAAGTATTCCTCACGTATTGCGCCCATCTCCACCAAAGGGGTCAAGAAATCGCAGGGACGACTCTCAATTGGAGACAAGAGACAGCCAGACCGGGACGGACTGGAGGCGACGCAAGGCTACCTTTCCGTAGTAACTCATTCTGGCCATGCATTTCACGACACCAACAAAAAGTTCTCCCCGCATACTATCTGGGCGGGCACACTTACACCGTCGCATCGCTTGCTTCATTGCACTCCCTCACGTCCTCGCCAGACCGTTGGTCCATGTAGTCCAACTAGTCGTTACTGGATCAATTGTTAGCAGCTTCTATCTGTCTCTCTCTCGCTTTCTCTTTTCCGTCGGCCGCCCCGTCTCATCCATCACCGTTGCCTCTGCTACTGCCACTGTAGCGTTTTTGGCGCAGCAACTGCGACGGCTAGTGTAGATGTGTGTGTTTTTCCTTCCGCTGTGTGCCCCCATGTTTTCCTCTTTTGTGTGGCAGGATCAACAACAACACCATCTTCATACACACAAAGGAAAGGAAACAACCGCAACGTTGGGGCTCTTTCTTTGTTGCAATACCTGCCCCGCTGGCTGCCCGCGCAACGGTAATCGCAGCCGCAACCGCATGTCGGCAACGGGAAGGCAAGCCTCTTCTTGAATTGATCTTGTGCTTCTACAACTCTTGAACTTCTGCTGTTGCTCGATCACCCTTGCTTGTGTTGCAATCTTCTCGCCATCACACTCTCTCCCCCCCCCGTTTTCTCGTGTGGTTTCGGTTGCTACGTTCTCGACGTTACCTCGACTCTCTCTTTCTCTACGCCTACGGTTTGGACAGGGGCATATTCTCTTTGTGCTTTCTCTCTTCGTGAGAGCATGCAGTCTACCATCGCGCACATTTACGCCCGCTAGAAAACCTCAACCCTCCATCACCGGCAGTCCAGTCATACCTTGTGTCTGTCATCCTTCACAATCGCCTGACTGCTGGTGGCATCTGGCCCATTGTCTGTGTGCACATCTCATCGCCATCTACGCCGACGCCGTCACACACTCTCACACACACACCTTGTTTTATTCTCCAACACAGTAAACAACCTTGCTCAACATCTTGGACCCGGACCGCTGGAGCTTCGAGATCTCGGCCCCCCTCCGCGTTATCCCACCTTGTTGTTGCTCTTTTCGAAGCTTTTCCCCCAACGACTGTGCTTCCTTGCCGAGAGGACAGACCTCCGACTCTGTCCGATCGTAGGGAACTGTGGCCGTGGCTACGGAACCTCCACCAGAACAGCCCAACAGCAGCAGCAGCAGAGCGACGTTGTGGAAAAAGAAACGCTCCTCACATCTCATCTTCAACACCGCTCGTCCTCACCTCACAGACGCGCTCCCCAACCGTCACCTCAGCCCTGCTCATTCTCCATCCAAACCAGCACCGCTTTCCCAGGGTCCCCCTCCCCCAGAGTCATCACCAACAATTTTTCATTTTTGTTCATTGCTTCTATGCTGAGGTACAGTACAGGACAGTACCTACAGACAGCACCGTAACTTGGTTTTTTTTTTTTTTTTTGTATCAGATCTCTCTTCCTTCTTTGCAGCATAAAGCAAACTTATCCCCTCTTCCTATACATACACCTCGCCAACGGTTACTTCCACGGACAGACGATCCGAGAGGAGAATAGAAACTAGAGGCCCTTGCTACCGGCATACCTAGAACGTCTCATCGTTGCTCTGCCGCCTCGACTCGTCACATTAGGGCCTTGCTTCTTTTTGCCTGCATTTCGAGCTTTGTACATTTGGGGATCCATCGTCCTACAGATATCGCTCACACTCATCACCCGTTTTCCCGCCTCCTTGCCAGGTGCAGTTGAACTTGCTCGGACGCTGGGCTTTTGCCGACTTCTCGGTCCCGCCATACTGCCAGCCAGCAGCAGCCGCAGCAGAAGTAGAGATCGTTCAACCTGCGGGTGTGTGTTCGTGCGCTGGCAGCTTCTCTCTCACTCAGTCAGTACCCTCAACTCAAAATTGCGGTTTGCCCAATACAAGGCCGGCGACAACGCCTTCCTTTCCAATTCAACTCCATCTGTCCCGTCTCCGGACAGTCCGTCACTGCCAGCCAAAAACGGATAATATATTTATATCGAGGCTATTCCGTTTCGAACCTCTGCGACCTGACGCACAGAACGCTACTCTCCCATTTCAAGGATCGCCACGCCCGCAGGGCCGTCCGCCATCTAAGTCTGGCGCGCGGTCTCTTTTCTCGGTTGATCTAATCAATTTCTGTAGCAAAACCAGGCCGGCCCTACCTGGCCTGCCAGCGCTCGAGCGTCTCCCACACCAAGACCCGCCGGCGAGGACGACGACGGTTACGGTACATGCCAAAAGTCACTCGACCTACCTTACCCTTACCCTCCTCCTCCTGGTACTCTTCCTCTCTCCTCCCTCACCCACTACCCTACCCTACCCTACCGGCACCCCTGCCTTACCTCTCCTCTCTCTTACCCGTCAGCACCGTCGAAAATAAGAAAGGGCCCAATCGGTACTACCTCAGGTACCTAGGAGCGCACCTCACTCCACGCCTCCACAGCTCCCCTATCCCCCTGTTCATAGCCCATACCTCGTTCCAGGGGCCCCTGGAAGAGCAACCTGCCCGCTCCAGCAGAGCAGAAGAGCACCACTTCTTTTGAATGCAATGCTATATTGCTGCCGATAATATATACCTTCATCAGACGCCTCACGTCTTTCGCTCATAAAGCAACACCTCCACGATAATCTTGGACTGGCCTGCGGTCGTCTCTCTTCTACCCCTCGTAGTATAACATAGCGCCACGACCTCTCACATACTCCAACGACACGCACAAGTCACACGCAATTGCACCTCATCTCAACTTCCCACATTGTTTCGTTTCTTCAGCCAAAGTTCGCTGTTGCGTTTGGACTCGTCTTGTGCCGGGCATATCCCACTCGTCCTTGTCGTTCCTACGGATAGACTCGTTCACCACAACACCATACCATCATCGTCGTCATCCTTCACACTTGGACAACAATAACAATAACAAGTTGACAACAAATCTGTCGTTCTCTCGCCAGTTCTCCACCACAACACACTACTCGACTCTCACCATAGACACCAAGGTTTCTCCATTCCCGGCTCACCGTCGTCGATACTTGCAACATCCTGGCATCGCCCGAAGTAGCCTCACCACACACCTCCCAAAAGAGAGAGAGAGAACCTCAGACTTCCTTCCTAGTCCTTCCTTCGGCCCCCCACTTGGGTGATTCTCGCGGTCCGTCTGTCTAGACCGTCCTGCAGTGGATCCTCTTCACCTTCGGAGACCATCCAGAGCTCTGTGCACACTTCTGCGCGAGTCGTTGAAGAGAAGACAGACGAGAAAATAGAAGCAAGGAAGCTGCCGGTAGCAGACTCGAGTTTGTTTCTTGTCATCCAGACACCCCCGAGCAAAAACGACGCCAGTCGTCCAAGATCCGCTTGGTCTCCCGTACCTGAGCGCTCAGAGGTTCGACGATCGCATTGTTCCTGGTGGCCACCATTATGCTTCTAGTCTCGGAAACTTAACACACGCCGGCCCTCGACACTTGGACTTCGAA